AAGTCACTGACCTTGGTAAATATAAACAACGCCTATTATAATTCCGATTATTAATAGTAATTAAAAATTAAACATAAAAACATTTTGATATTCAAATAAAGGTCGCCGCAGGGGGACCTCTTGACGTGAACATAGCCCTTTGACAATAGAAACAGGAGACGAGCCAGAATAGTCAGATTCACCAGCAGTCGATGCAGTCGAAACAGAAGATCTGGTTCTACAGGTCCCGAAGAAGACGAAAAAGACCTTAATAATTTCACAATATTAGCCGTTCTCATTCGATCTGAATGATCAGAGCTAATAGAGTGCAATACCAATAGTATAGTAAGCCCTAAATCATGAATGACGACAAAGAAATTAATCAAGCAGTGCCAGAATTTTACGAGAAGAAAATAAACTTTCCAATGTAACTAAAAAAAATATTGACAACTCTGCACAAAGTCAGCAACGAAACTACTTTCATTGCAAGCATTACAAAGTTGCAAACACGATTGTAAGAGAAACGTCTGACCGAAGCGAAATGGCAAATGGCAAAGCAAGCACGTAGTATAGAACTTTTTGTTTCCTCCTCGGGTTCCGAGTTTCTTCGTGGGTTCCTTGGAAAGTGAGTGTCAAATAGTTGCTCTAGTGACTCCTCTATTGTCGTTGTAGCAGTGCCGTCCGCTGATAAGGGTGAGGCCTGCATGCCCTTTGGCTAGAATTTTGCTTAATCTCGCCGTGCTCTTGATGCCTTCTAGCGACTCGCAGTAGCTCTGCCAGGTGTCCTTCTTGGCTTCGTATAATACTTTTTTGTATGTTTTTCTCGCTTCCTTGGTTGCTTCCCATTCCATGGTTCCATACCCACCACGGTGGGTAGTGTTTCTTTGAAAATGATATCTTGCATGTCTCTTGGAAGGATGTTTGTGAGGTCCTCCACCTCCTTGTCGAGTGCCTTTGAGGAGGATTGCATCCTGTTTTTGACTTTAGATTGGACAATTTCGCCGAATTTTCCCAATCTGACTTATTATTACTGACTTACTTAATACTAACCCGTGCCGATAGGTCGAAGAAAATGTTTCTATGGTCTGAGAAAGAGTGTTGTGTCGATACTCTCCAATTCTTGACCTTGTACTGCAAGGAGTTTACAAGGAGAGATATAACACCTCTTTCCAACCTTCCAGTGCTGCGAAATACAAAAGTTGGCTTATTACCCTTGATGCATATTGTAACGTTGCTCACCTCTTTCATTAGTTTCCGAATTGCAGAGCGTGTGCCTCGCATTCGCTTCGCACCCAAGCACCAGGGCCGTCTTTTGTTTCTTCTGCATTTTGCAGCAGCCTAATTAACGGCTCAGGCGAGCCCGGCTTATCATGGGTCATGTAAGCCGAGGCGGTTAGAACTCCGCTCCCATTCACTGCCACGAATTTGGCCACTACTAGGTCAGGTGTGCTGAGATTGGAACAGAAAAGCTTTAAAGTGGTTGGTCCACTGTAGTGTGTATCCTGGAATCCTTAGTCCAGCGACTTTTCCGTCCCTGGTCCAAGGCTCCTGTATCATATCGATGTCGATATCCCTCTTCATTAGAAGGATCGTGAGATTTGCTGAAGCGTGTGAGCCGCGCTTCAGGTTAATCTGCACGATTTTCAAAAATCGATGTTAGTTAGGGTAGCATTTGGTTTCATCGACCTCTTCCAATTCTCATCCGGCTCTGGATCATGGCCTTCCTACTGCCGTACTGGACCTTAGTGTCATTGTCATTCAGCTGCTGCAAGCAGTGGTTATTAGTAGTTGGCTCGCCTTCATCTTCTTTTATGCCTTAAGCATGGTTCGTCCTTTAGACAGGCGATCACCCTGGGATGGTCAGTTTACCTTTTCGGTAACCAGATGCAGGCTCTGGGTCTCGTCGGGATCTCCCTGGCATGAACTAGCCTAATCTTAAGGCCAACCCATGTGTCGCTGATCTTAGCCACAAATTCCTCCAGAAAGCTCCTGGAAAACCCGTCGTCACACCTGATTACTTGGTTTCTGATTCGAATCCGAAAAAGTTCAAACTTAGAGGGAATGGTTAAAACCTAGTAAAAAGAGAGGAAATCTCTGGTTGAAGTTTATTGCCGTTTGAGAATCTTAGAATAATTAAACTATTATGCCCTCTGCGTGCAATCAGAAATTGAGCTGTGGCGCATGCAGATAATGGACGTGCAGACCTGGAGGACAGTATCATAACCACAAAATTGGCAAGTTGGGTAACTGGACGACTTTAACAAAGCGAGCCAATAGAAGCTTGCACTTTCATGGCTTTAAACGCAAGTTCAAAACTCATTCGTTTGTGGGAACTGGAATCGGTCGATATGTCCCTGGAACATTCAATTTAAAAGTACATACAAAAAAGACCTCTCGCCTCGACTGCACTGGTAGAATTGTTGTCCATTCAAGGACGACACAAGCCGATTGGGAGATTCGTTTGATATCGCCCGTCGTCGGTTCCTGATCATGAAACGTCGTCTATCGAAATCTCCAGCACTTCGTCAACAATACTGCGACTTCATGGAGGAGTGTAAAATGTTGGGTCACATGTTAACAGTTATTCATCCTTAATAGCACGAGCCGCACTAGTACTTCCCACATCACTGCGTAATCAAACCCAGCAGTGAGTCTAACAAGCGCATGGTGGTTTTTGACTCCTCCAGTCGTACTTCAAATCAAACGTCGCTAAACGGTTTGCTATGAGTTGGCCCAAAACTCCAGGCGATTTGTATCTGTAGCTTCTAAAGTTCAGACTTAATCGTTACGTCATCAATGTAGATGTAACAAAGATGTACAGGCAAGTAAATCTTGCCATTGTTGATCCCAAATACAAGTACATCCTTTGTAGAGCATTTCCAGAAGATACGCTGCGCACATATAAATTAAATACGGTGACCTACGATCCTGCAGCCGCCCCGTTTTTGGCAACATGCTGCCTAAACCACAGCGCCGATGTTCATAGAGTCGAGGAATAAGATAGCGCTCTTGGCGTGAACTGGAATCAGCAGAAGGATACACTGTTTTTCAAGTTTATAACACATCACCAAAAGAAGTATTTTCTTCACCGCTTCCGCCTTGTTCGACCTGCTTGTATTGCTCGCACCGCTTATTGTTGTCGCAAAAATTCTTCTTCCAAGACCTTTGGCTCCCTGGCTCACTGGGAAGGGAGCTTTCCACTGGCTAAATCAGCACTCAGTTACAATGTCATCTTTGGTCGGAAACTGGATACGAAATTGAAGAATGGACCGCAGGTCATTGGAAATTGCCAGGTGCACGCAACCGTGCAGATATTGTTTCCCGTGGAACTACTACAGCTGAGCTGGCTGCCAACCATCGTCCCAGTGGCCAATCACACTGCAAATCATCCATATCGATCCAGCTACTATTAAAGCAGAGAAACAAAAGACCACATTTAGCACGGCTGTGATAATCAATCATGTTCTCCAATAGTTGACTCACATTAGCTCATACATTCGCACCAGCGCATACGTCTTTCACTTCGCCAACCTATAGAAGGAGTTTAAGGTGTCGTTCCATCGCTAACACCGGAAGAACTTCGCCGCGCATTGTTCAGCACCGTCTACAAGATTTTCGTTCGCTGCCGAAACCTAAAGCTTAACTAGTCATTTAAAGTATTTAGCTCCATTTTTCGAGGACGACTACAGAACGCTGACATCCTTGAATCTGAAAGGCTTCCGCTACTTCCAAGCAAATCGCACTTTGATCGAATTTAAGTCCGACACATGCATCTGAGGAATTGTCATGCATGAACGAAAGATCTAGTTGTGTTCATCCGTCTGAAGTACTGGATCATCAATGCCAGGAACCTAGCTTGTCGAGTGGTGCATTCCTGTATACGTTTAAAACTTATATTCGGGTCAGAAACAAAAGCTTACCCCGCAGTCTTTATTTGTTTGGTATCTAAAGCAGTCCACCTAAAAGTTGTCTCGGCCTACGAAGGCATTTCTTGCAGCACTTAAACGGATAACCGTCCGGCGGTCAGAACCAACTTCGTCGAAGCAGCCAATCATATTCAAGAACTTCGAGAGTTCATTGGAAAAGCCACGCAAGAAGTTATTTCATCTTATTTGCCAAATTATTCTTTAACCTGTCAGAGTCGCTCACTTTGAAGGCCTTTGGGAAGCTGCGGTGAAAATCGCGAAAAGCGTGTTTTAGTCTACAGAACACTGATGAATTGAAGATTCACCTTCGAGGAGCTCTCAACTCACGCCCATTGTCTTCGCTATCTCCTGATCCCAACGATTTTGGTGCACTAACCGCGGGGCACTTTCTGGCTGGGAAATCTCTTCGCGGCTACAAGCATCCAGCCTGTACTGGACATATTTGGATCAACGACGGAGACGAAAAAATCAACGGCAACAATGCACGCAGCAAGGTGGGCGACGTTAGCTCATTCTGTTTGTCTGTCGGCTCTGGGATCCTGCGCTGAAGATGCTATAATGCTGGGATGTTAATACTGCGCTTCTCAGCGCTTGATTGATTCGCCTCCCTCCACCTCCGCTTCCCTTGAATAGTCAAAATTTCCGTCTCCAATTCTTTGCGAACTAGTCTGTCAGTTGTGTAGCTATCTTAATGAAACTTTGCAGTTAGTCTTCTATATCCTGGTATACAAGTCGGAAAGGGCGGGATCGGCCCTAAGAACGATTGAATAAAAATCAGTATTCAACATCAAATTTAAGATATAGCCATCGTGTATAATTTAAGTATTTCTGTTTTAATTTTGTAAAAATCGGTACTATAAAGCTGCCATAGAAACAATAGTTGAATATTGAGGAAATAGCAAAACTGCAATTTCTCTTTTAAGTCATAAAAATCGGGCTTCTATATGTTATTAAATAGCTATATATTTTCGTCTAATTTAAGATGTAACTATATCATATAGCTGCTATAGGAACGTTCAGAAAACTAATTCCAAAAAAATTATAATAGCTTTAAGAATATAAAAATAACACGTATAATTTTATCCTCTCTTTTAGTACAAATTCCATGCAAAAATTGACGATCAAATTGACAAAGCGAATGTAGCCATGACACAAGGTCTTAATAGTAAACTTATGTCAGTGCTAGAGTCGACCTTGTCCAAACTAGCCCGTTATGATGAAGGCAGTCTAATCGGGTCGATACTAAGCTTTACGAATGTCTCGAGTTCGGGCAAAGACTTGGGACAGGGCTATGTGAACTTCTTTCGAAATAATATGGATCAAATACGAGGCAAGATCGGCGATGATCTTTGGACATTGAATTTCTTTGAACATTGGTATGGCCAACAAGTAAACATGCTTTGCAATTGGTTATCGGAGCGTTTGGATCATTCTCTGCATTATGCGCAAGTTTCATCAATTTCGCATATTATAAAGGTCAGTTTTTATAAACAATTGAAACTATTATACACAATACTAATATAGATATCAAAGATAAATTTCGGAAAATATTCGATTAGTAACGCTTCAATAAATGTTCATTTATGTTATTTTAATTTATTTTAGAAAATATATTCCGACTTTGAACTGCAGGGAGTATTGGAAGATAAACTGAATTCAAAGGCATATCAGGCGGTTGCCCAACGTATGGCCACCGAGGAAGCAACTTGTGCTTTAACAATGCCCGAAGTGACCGAAGGCGACGAGTAAGTGCCTTTCATCGTTCTATATTAATTAAATAAAATAGTAAACATATATATAAACAAAATAAGTTATTACCATTATTTAGTTTTTCAAGTATAATTATATTAAAACAAAACTTTTTCAGACCCTGTGATGACCTTCGCGAAGGTGACGAAGAAGATAATGGCGATGAATCTACCTCTAATATTCCAAGAGGCTTACCAAAGCCAAAAGTCGCAGCGGCTCAGGCGGCCGCTGTTACCAATGTCGTGGCCGGTCGTGTGGGAAATTTATTGGGCAAAGGCATTGGCGGGCTTAGTTCAAAACTAGGCGGTGGCAGTTGGTTTTAAAATGTGAAAAAGTCTTTAAAAAATCATAGTGTAATTTTTAACTTGGAATTCGATTTGTATATCATTCTATTTTCAAGAAATTATTTAATGCAAATAATTTATAGAACTTTCTTAATTAAGTTAATACAAAAAGACATAATCTCTTTATATTTATATTCTATAAATGTATGTATATTCCTAAATATCCGACTTAGATATTTGCTATACGCCCTAGTACGCTACTTTGTTCTTTTAAAATACTAGTTTATTTTGTTTTAAGACTTCTTTAAAATAAATTTATAAAAATAGTATTGTATACCATGAATATATTTGGTTTTCCTAAAATTAAAATATATTATATTAACTATTAAGACAACCGGCTGCCATAACAAATGAACTTGTTTTATTTTTTTTTTTAAATAATACGATTTTCTTTTTAATAATATTCATATTATTATATAATATATGTATATTTTTTAGCTCATCAGGTGGCTGACAAAATTAAGGACAAATTTTTGTATGTTCTATTTTATTCTAAAAATCAGGCTCTAGTCACAAAAAGAAAAAATAGGACAACTTAACACAACTTCTAATTAATTAAACCCATACAGATAGTAAGCTAGTGCTGTATTTAGGCGTTTCAGTAAAAAAAATTAATCAGAATGGGGCATTGTTTTTGTACATTTCTTTACATCAGATATTTAAACAAAATAATAAATGAAATAAACAATAAAATACTGCACAATTTGGCTAAACAACATTCGGAATATATTTTATGGCACTATCGATAGTATGACATAGATCAGGCGTGGGCACGTAACGCGCAACAGTGTAGCCAAATAAACAAGGCAACCACCATCGTCGTACCTATGAGCCAGACAGATAGTGAGAGCGAATCATCTTCATGTGCGTCATAAAACGAGCGTCTGATACAACGTGCTGGTGCCTCCCAAAATCAATAATAAGAGGTGCGGCAGTTAAAAGATCCACTTCGTGCCTACTTAGGATATGAATTGTTCCAACATCCAACATGGACCCAATGATGGTTTTGCAGCGATATTATCGACATAGTTGTCCGATCCGGCCCGTTCCGACATACATATATACGAGTGAGAGTATATAGAAGAAGAACTACAAAGTTTCATTCAGATAGCTTCAAAACTGAGAGACTAGTTTGCGTAGAAACGGACAGACCGACAGACGGACATGCCTAGATCGACTCGGCTGTTTATGCTTATAAAGAATATATGTATATACCTTGTAAGGTCGGAATGGAATTGGTACCATTGACTGCAGTAGAAAATGTCTTCTTTTTCTAATTGCAAGTTCGGCTTTATAGTGTCTTGTTATGTCTGTTTTGTTTTTGTTTAGGGTAAGGACAAGTGGCACATTGCTAGCCGATTTTGCGGTTTGATTGGCTATTTCATTTCATCTTATTCGTACATAGCCAGGAATACACATAATTTTAATTTTGGGGGCATGTTGTTTTATAAGTGATTTGATTCTATTTGGGTAAAAATTGTTGTTATTTACATTTTGAATTAAGTCTATTGTTGCAAGGGATTCGGATCAGATATGTATTTGCCTCTTCTATATTTAATAAGCTCAATCGCTTCGAGGATGGTGACTGTTTCGGTGGTAAGGACGAGTATGGATATAGCATACCATATTTTAGAACATTTAATACCGTTGTAAGGGCGTGTGGAATTGTGAAGTTAATTTTTGAACCATCGCGATGCATCGGTGAATATGAAATTGTGTTGTTTAAGATGTTCCTTAATGTTTTGTACAGTACAGTTGTTATGTGTCTGGGGATATGTCTTGTTTCTTTTGCATTCCAAGTGATGTGTCTATTAGATTGGAGAGGGTCCAAGAAGGCCTTTTTTTTGTTTATTTTTTTTTGTTTGTATATATTACTAGCAAGCCCGGCGAACTTCGTTTCGCCACCAGATGTCTTTGCTTTATGTAACATTTCGTTCGGTGATTAAAAGATAAAGAAACATTTTTTTTTTTTTTATTTGAAAAGAAAAAAATGTATTTCATTTCACAACTGTAATGAATACAATTATAAAAAGCGTTATAAGTGTCCGCAAATTATCCGTTTCATTGAAGTGCTTTTGGGTAAACCACGTTTTTTATTCTTTGAATAACGTTTACACAAACAAAGCGGATGGTTTATCAATTCGTGAACACGCAACGTATAACTTTGTGGCAAGAATTGCTCGTTGACTTAACGAAGCATAATTCTGATATTTCTCACTAATGTTTGGGAAAACATTTTCAATAAGAGAGTGTATAAATCGGCAAAAGTCGTTGGCAAAAGTAAATAATCTAGATGTCGCATCAAATGGAACTTTTCCAGTCAACAACAGGAAAATTGTACAGCACTTAAATCATTTTGAAGTTGAACTCTCATATTAGTGGTTAGCGATAATAGTTTTACGTTATTCCCAATAGGTGATGAGTTCAGGTAAGTATTGTAACAGGCCAATTAATATAAGTGGACTATGGGCACACTATTAGTTTAGGTGCACTCTCTTGAGAGAGCATGTGACTCGCTCGAGAAAGGGCCTCTCTGGGAAAAAGGGGTTGAAGAGAAGCTGCCTGCGAGCAGCAGATCACTGTTTAAGAAGAGCTGAATAATATATGACGTGAAAAAGTAAAGAACAGGCTAGACAAGAGGAAAAGTATAAAACAGTATTTTGAACAATGAATAAAATGATTAATAAAGTAAAGTTATTAACACTAGCATTCGGTCACAATCTCAGAAGTGGGATCGGGAAAATTTTTTTTGCTGTTGTGTATAAACGTTAAAAAATGGATTTATACATAAAAGAAGTGACTGTGGCTTAGCTGAAAAAGTGGTTAGAGTGTCTGAACTTATCTACGAAGGGATCAAAAGCCGATCTGTACTCCCAGCTATGTGCGGTTCCACCTGAAAGATGCGGCAGTGCTCCAGTAATAAGCCAAGAGGAGTAGGAAATAGGGGTTGCAGATGCGGAAGGGGCATTATTGGAGCAGCACGGAAACTATGGACGAGCTACACCAAGAAATCGAGAAGGCAAGGAATGACGTTGCGCGACCGAGCGGCCCCAGAATTGAGGCGTCTGAGAATAACGGCGACATGTTCGAACAAGCAGGTGAGCAGGGCCTGGCGAATAGTAGAGGAAAACGAAAGAGAGACCAGCGAGAATTCTGGGAATTTTCAACGTCTTGACAACGGACAAAACGGCGGCAGCGGCACAAAGGATGGCAGAGGCGTTGGAGATGCTTTTTCATCAGCTGAGTTCGGCTTGTCGAAGGATATCCTAATGGATTTTTCGGAGAATATTTCGGTTCGGGCCTGGGTCTCCCAATGGGAAAACATAGCCAAGTTATACAAGCTATCGGACACCCAAAGCAGAGTGTTGCTGATTGGAAAATTGAAAGGCAGCGCTGTGCAGTGGCTGAATGAGGATGCAACCCGGTTCGAAGAAACGTCGAGTGAGCTGGTGGACCAGTTACTTCTTGCGTTTGGCGGCAACGAGTCGAAAGCCGAGTTGAGACGTAAGTTCCAGGGACGGTTATGGAAACCAACCGAGAAATTTGCGGTTTACTTCGAAGAAAAGCGCAAGTTGGCAGGAGAAGTAAACATGGATGACAAGCTGTTGAATGGGCTTATTGTCGGAATTCCGGGGGAAAATTTAAGAATTCAGGCTACGCTGCAGTGTTTCGAAAACCCTGGAAGGATGCTTAAAGCATTTGTCGACATAAGGTTGCCAGCAAGGGCTCCTGAAGGAAAGAAAAGATACTCCGAGAAGGATGAGTCGGCAAGCAAGGAGACGCGTTGCTATAACTGCAACGGGATAGGGCACTGGGCAAGGGACTGCACTAAGCCGAAGAAGTCCCCTGGGGGTCTTGCTATGGATGTGGAGCGATGGATCATTCATCGGAAAATGCCCCAAAAACAAGAAGGATGCTGCTAATAACTACTTAAGATTATTTAAAATTTTTGTTTATGAAAACGCTGACCAGTCAATTATTACAGAATGCTTAATCGATTCAGGAAGCCTAGTATCTTTTATAAATAATTCTTATGTACCCAAAAACGTTAGATTAGTCCCTCAAGAAGAACCATATTATGGATTAAATAAGAGTAGACTAAAGAGCTATGGAAAAATGTTATGTTTCATTATGAAAAAAGAAATAACGATTTTGTAAGAAATAAAGATTTTATTGTTTTGGCTGACGATTCAATGCTTTGTAATGTTGTGCTGGGTAGGGATTTTATGGAAGCTTGCAACTTGAAAATTAATTTGGAAACTTTAAAAATGATTATGTTAGTTTATTGGATGATAATACTAATGGAACTTATGAATTGGATAGAGAATCGGATTGAAAAGGTTTAGAATGTAATTTAGATGGCAAAAGTTTAGGTACAGGTTTAGATAGAAAAAGTTTAGGTACAGGTTAAGATGGAAAAGGTTTAGGTACAGGTTTAGATGGAAAAGTTTAGATACAGGTTTAGATGGAAAAGATTTAGGTACAAATTTAGTCATGGAGAGTTTAGGCCCAGTCTTAGGTGAAAACAAGTTAGGTACGATTGAATTTGAAAACAGTTTAGGTACAAAAAGCTTAGGGAAAAAAGAAAGAGTTTTGGAAGAAAATTTTATAAGCAGATGATGGAGATAAATATTTTAGAAGACTGTGAGGAAGAACAACTGTATAATATTGGTGAGAAGTAAGTTAATTATAAGGATCGTGAAAATTTTGTCAAATTGTTAGAAGCACATTATGTTCTAGTGAAGTGACTGGAAGTTCCGAAAATTAAATGTGAAATGAGCATAGTGTTGAAAAGCTCAAAACCATTTAGCTACGCGCCAAGGAGACTGTCATACAGCGAAAAGGAAGCATTATTAAAAATTTTAGAGGAATACACTGGAGATGAGATTATCCAACCTAGTAAGTCGGAGTATGCTTCTCCTATTGTATTAGTGAAGAAGAAGTCGGCGGAACTGAGACTTTGTATCGATTTCAGAAGGTTGTACAAAATCATGGCGAAAAATAATTATCCGATACCATTAATTGATGATCTTTAGACAATTTAATGGGGAAATCGGTGTTTACGAAATTGG